GTCTTTAGACGTCATCTTGCTACTTAGGATCTTACTACCTTTCGTATGAATTCTGCAAAAGACCTTATAAATCGCGAATATTATGTATCTCGGTAAAAATTTTATGAAGAGATTTTAGAAAAGCATCTTCCTTCTAAAAAAAATTCGTATTTAAGAATTAAGGTAAAAGATTTTTTAACCAATATTCCAGAAACTATAGAGACCTTGAATTTTAAGAATAATAATATGCGATAATTGATTGTTTCAAAAAGAATAATTATTCGACGAAAAATAAAGAAAATATATATATTAAAAATTTTTTGTTCTCTGGAAAAACAACCTCTGTTTATGCTATATTCGTAGCGTTGTTCTAAAATTAACAAATTAGAGCGTACAATCAAGAAACACGGTAGTATTTCGCGCCAAGTACACGCGCAACGCGAGACCGCCGTATATATTTTTACGCGAACGGTCGAGTTGTAAGTACCCGAAATTTTTGAGATCTTATATATACACATACGAATGAAAAATATCGTCAAGATATATTGCCGAGGCGTGTCACGGAAATGCAGTTCTACGGCAATCTACATTTTTGTAGCAAACGTCGTTCTGGCCGGAGGACGAGGAAAACGGCGGCTCCGAGCTGACGACGATGAGCTCGCAATTGCGGAAGACACGGAGTATGGACAGCTCCTGTCTGGAGCTGCGACTGGGTCCGCTACCCGGAAACCCGCCGTCGTCCGGCGGCCACCTCGGTCCGGCGCTCCATCTCCCCGCCGCTCTTTCCCGAGCGAGGTCGGAGGCCAACCTGCACGCCTCGACATTATCCCTCGGCCCTGGTACGTCGTTCTGCCGTTTCCTTTTTTTTATTCTGCGACAATGATATCGATTTTTCGCGCTACGCCATGCGCCCATCCCCGAAAATTTGCCGCTCCCCACCGAATCAAGCATCCTTACATTCACAGGATAAAATTAACCAAACTCTCGACTAAACTAATTTGCAACTACGCCGAACTAAACTGAATTGGACTAAACTAAACCGCATATACCTGGCCAAATAATTCAGTAATTGCACGTGGAACAATTAAACTGTTATATATTGCATGTTATTATAATGCAAATATCCTTTTAGATAGTTAGCTTAATCAACATAATAAACGGAATACGACATATTATTAAATATAAATCAGACTTAATTTTAGATTACATTAAATAACTTTCCTCTACTTCATTAAAATACATATGAACGTATTCATATGTATACATATAACGTAAATTTAGAACTTATTTGAATTAAGATGATTTATCTACGGATCGCTCGTTCATTGTACATCGCATCGCATATGCTACCGTACAACAACAACAATGGCAACGGGCTGTCAACTGATCAGAGACAATCGAGAAAAATCGGCGAAATGGAGCCTTTGCGCTGACGTTTCCACTCGCTTTTCGCGAGACCTATCGTGCCGATCGTATAAATTTCAGCCGCGATCAGATTCAGGCGACTCGTGTCGAAACCCGAGGCTCTCCGGCGCGCTCCGGAATCGAGTCCCGCGCGCAATAAAAACGGAATATGCTTTCGTTTGTGCAACGCGACCCGAGACTGTATTTCATCCTTGCGGTGTCGCGTGTCGCGTCGATCCATCACGTTCGTCATTATGTGCGCCGCTTTTACATCGAATATTCCTCAGTTCTTTAGGTTTCTTCTCCCGACAATATCACGTCACGCTTGCACGTAGAGGGAAATGAAAAACCGGATAATTATAAATACGATATAAATAACCGCAACGAGCATAAATATTCTTGTCGCGTTTATCGCGACGATGAATTAAACCATTAATTAATCTTATTGCGCCTCCCGGGACAATTCAATGTCGGAAATCAACGTCGTTGCTTCACGTTTAGTACCGCGTGTAAATTCGCGCGAATTAATTTACCACGACGACGTACGAATGGCCGCGCATTAATAATAATGCACCGCTGATATTTCTGGACAATTCTCGCGAATCCCGTTTCTTCCTCCTATCCTCGATGTCCCTCCGGGGGTGATGCCCATTCTCCTTCCGACATTCACCCCGACCGTTGCTATCGTACGCTGACCTAATTGCCCTGGTTTACCCTGAAACTACCCCCGCATTATCCCGGGCTCATCCTCATCCCCCTGCCACCTTTTCCCCTCTACGCCGTTCACTCGGGCTCGGTCAGTCAGTTACAGCGCTTCTGGTTTCCAGAGGTTCCAGAGACCCCACCCCGACCTCGATCCATGGCGCCCCCGATGTCCCGTAACAGCGCGAGTGGCACCGGAGTCGGCGCCGGGGGTTGGGGAGACGCCCCCCTCGCCAGAGCTCTCTTTGCCTATCTTAGCTCGGGGGAGAATCAGTTGAGCTTTCTAGAGGGTGATCTCATCGCGCTGATGGGTAAGTCTGATCTCGCAACGTTCGTAGATACGATACACGGTGTCCTAAAGTTGTAGCACGCCGTTCCTGGTGCAATCGTTGACCGACGTACCCCGCACTCTGTTTAATTCATTACGCGATAGCTGCGATCGTAAGTGCTACAACTATATATATATATCTTAATTTATTTTAAATACTTTTTGAGGCAAAAATGCCAATTAATTAGAATTCATATTAATTGCAACATTGATGATATCAAAATGATATTATCTATTTTAATTAATATATATTTAGTTACTCAATTATTAATATTTATCGTAAAATAATTACTAGAATTGTAATTAACTGTAATTTCGAACTCACATGTCAATGGTATTTTGCGCGCACCGGAGATATTTAGAGGCAACGATGAGATAAAGATAAATTTGCTTTTTTTCTCCGGTTTTTTAAATATGTTTACAATTAAAAAGGACCTCCGTTGCAAAAATGTTAATGAGGCCGGAAGCGCAAGCGAGTTTCAAGGATTTGCATATTTCTCGTTCTTTTTTTCAGGAGACCGTCAGAAGGGATGGCAATTTGGTGAAAATCTGCGCACTCAAAGCACGGGGTGGTTTCCCTTGGCGTACACCGAAATTATAATCGACGACACTGTGGGGTAAGTAAACCTTCCCGATCTCGAGTAGGGTAATGCCGAAATTTCGCACTTATGGTCGCTCGTTATTAACCCTTCCAACTCCAAACATTTCGCGTTGAAATCCCGCGTGCATTTGAGATAGTAAATTGGTAAACATTCTCACGTGGACCTTAAACCGCGCACCTATTATTATATCAGTTGTCTTTTTCATTATTGATCACTCTATTATTTCTGTCAATAAATATCAATTATTATTTTGTCAATA